AAGATTGTGATGCTATAGTAACTGAAAGTTTTTATTTCATCTATATTTATTATGGACCATAAATTACTCAAGACACTCAGAGGGTGGTTGGAGGGAACTCCTTCTTTCCTGTCTAAGGTCCATTGTCATTATCACTCCTTCTTTCCTTTCAAACGCCCATTGTCATTATCACTCCTTCTGTTCTTACATACATGTTATCTCTAGTGACACCTCTAATCTTTAGCATTTATATGACAAATTGTAAGTGCTGTAAAACTTTTAATAAAACTTAGTAAGTTTTTTCTACTCTTTTCTATTTAGTTATACAATGATGATGATGAAGATGATGATAACTTTTGCGGTACCCACTGGGTGAAAGAAAACCTCCACGTTCTCTAAAAAATAGAAACTATTAATTCTGAAAACATTCTCACTCCTGAAACTAACTTTGGCCATAGACGTTGTCAACATGTACAACAACATACCACACCAAGAAGGTATTGAGGCGTTCCGTTCAGCCCTCACATGACAACACACGTCAAACTTTGGAAATTTGCAAACTGTTGAAACTAGTCATCACCCTCAATAATTTTTCATTCAACAATCAAAATTCTCTCCAGCTGACTGGCACAGCGATGGGTACCCCAGTAGCCCCCTCTTATGCCAAAATTTTTATGGCTGAATTTTGGCGCAAATACGTCTCCCCTCTTCCCAACCAACCAGTTGTACTTCTGCGTTACATGGATGACATTACCGCCTTGCACAATGGTTGCTCTGAAACAGCCCAAAATTTTCTCACTGATCTGAATAAGATGCACCACTACATCAAATTTTACTTATTCCAGCCCAGATAAGTCCACTTCTTTTCTGGACATGTCCCTTCTCATTGTAGACCTGTATAAAAAACCTACCGACTCTAATCGTTACCTCCCACCTTCTTCAAACCATCCTAAACATATATTGCGTTTTGTGGTCTATTGTGGTGCCCATAGACTCCGCAGCATTTGTTCCCGCAAAAATGCTTTTAAACAACGGATAGAGGAATTCACAGCCAACCTTCTTTATAGTGGGTACCGCAAAATGTTTATAACGCCCATTATCGAGAAAGTCAGCAAATTGAACCGCACAACCCTTCTAACCTACAAACCCCTTAAGCCCAAACAGAAAAGACCCTTTTTCGTCACAACTCATCACCAAAAACTACCTAATGTACATAAAATCCACAGCCAACGCAAACGCATCTTGGAAAAATCAGACAAAATGAAAGCCTGTTTCCCCGACCCTCCTCTGATTGCACTTCGTCAGCCTCCCAATCTCCTCATTCGCACTAGAGCAGTAACACCCACGTCCTCCCCTCCGATAAACCCATGTTCCCCGCCTCAAAATTATCCTTGTCAAAAACCTAGATGGAAAAACATGTGCTTACATGAAAGTGACTAAATTTGTAGAAGGCCCCCACTTTAAAAGAAAACTTTCCCACAGCATCACTTGTGAAACCAAAAATGTAGTCTACCTCATATATTGTAAAGTCTGTCCAGCTCAATATGTAGGTCAAACTACCACCACACCTAGAGCTAGGTTTAAGTTTAATAACCATAGGTAATCAGTCCACAAAAACTCCAGCACACCAGTTGGCCAACATTTCAACAGTCCTGGTCACAATGGAGCCTCCGATTTGCATCTTCAGGGTATTGAAATAGTTCAGTATCCAACTAAAGAAAAACTTTAATCAAAGAGAATCAATGTGGATTTGGAACTTGGGGTCTCACAAAATTCTCACTGGCCTTAACATCGACGAGCCCCATTTTAAGGACCTTAAATTTACAACGTAACGTACTAATCACCCCTTATTCGTTCCAGTAACCCCCTCCTTTTGGCCCTGCCTTTCCGTTATATTCCTTACCTCCACGTACTTGTTCTCCCCACTTCTCTCTCTATATATATATTTCTCTCTCTCTCTCTCTCTCT